AATAAAGAAGATTTAATTATTGAAGAGCTTAATTATATTATTATGATGAATAAGCTTTTTGATTAAGAAATTCAAGAGGAATAAAAAAGTTAAAGAAGAGTTATAGAAAAGTATATGGATTTATAATATCTTTTTAATATAAAGTCTAATCTATTAAGACAACCTAATAAAACTTAATGAAATAAAGATCAAAATAAAAGAAAACGGTCTTCAACTTTAGCTAGTTTATTATTATTAGTATCATTTTATTGTTAATCTCAATCATTATCTTAATCATTATTCCAATCATTACCTTATTATTATAATTCTAAATCATATTTATAACCTACTACTATATTACAATTCAGAAAAGTATTAATTATCTATAAAATTCCCCCTCCCCCTTAAATTAATAATAATATAAAGGTTATAGAAAATAAAGAGTATTAATTATCATTTCTTATTTGATTATAATTATATAATAAAACTCAATAAAGTTAATATAAAAATCTTAAAAATAATTAAAGAAATAAATCTCAAATTTCATTTTATTATAAAGAAGGTTTTATAGTATTTCTTGTTATAATATGTTTATTATAATTTTGTTCAAAAGTAATAAAATTAATTGAATTATATTCTTATTTAATTTTGTCTATTCTTTAATAGTTTTAATCTTATAACTTGAAAATCATTATTAAAATTGAGTATTAATAATAAGCTTTAAATAATTTATAAATAATTAATATACTTTATATATTTTATATTTTTATATTAATATTTATACTAATTATAAATATTATATATAAATAATTTACAAATTATTTATAAATAATCTGCGGGTATATGAATAGATGGATTATTTATGGATTATTTATAAATAATCTGTAAATTATTTATATATTTGTAGATAATTCACAGATAATTTATCTATTTATACAGATAATTTGTGTGCAGCCTAGAGGGGATATGAAGGGGTATTATAAGTGATTGGTGGGTGAATGAATGAGTGAGTGTATAGATAGGTGAATAAGTGAGCGAGTAGGTAGGTGAATAAGTGAGTGAGTGAATGAGTGAGTGAATGAGTGAGTGAGTGAGTGAGTGAGTGAATAAGTGAGTGAATAAGTGAGTGAATAAGTGAGTGAGTGAGTGAGTAAATGAGTGAGTAGGTAAGTAAATAAGTGAATAAGTAAATAAATAAGTAAGTAAGTAAGTAAATAAGTAAATAATTATATAATTAAAAAATAATAAGTAAATAACTAATTAAATAAATATAAGTAAATATATAAATAAGTAGTAAGTAAATAAGTAAGTAAGTAAATATTTATATATATGAATAAATAAGAATGAGTAAGTCTATAAATAAGTAATTATATATATATATATAAGTAAGTAAATAAAAAAACTAAGTAAGTAAGTAAATAAGTAAGTATACAAGTAAATGAATAAGTTTATGAGTATATATATATAGATGAGTATATATATAGATGAGTATATATATAAGTGAGTAGGTATATATATATATATGTATGAGAAATTAAGAGATATTAGGTTTAGTATAAGATGAATAGATAGAGTATATGTATATTAGGTATATATATATTAGTTGAGTAGGTGAGTGAATATATACATGTGGATTAGATGAATAGGTAGGTAGATGTGTGGGAAGATGCGTGTATAGATAATCTGAATTGATGGGGATATTAATGAGGATATTGAGATGGGATATTGAGAACGAAATGGATGGGAGATTGATATTTACCTATTTATTGAAAGGAGTGAGTTTGAATACTGGATCCTCGGTGGGAAATGAAGATGAAATGCTTTATTGATTGGTTGGTTGGTTGGTTGGTTTGATTGTAGAATATAGATGTGTTATGGGTATATGGGTTGAGGAGGTAGACTTGGTTTTGTTTTGTTTTGTTTTGTTTTGTTTTGTTTTGTTTTGTTTTGTTTTGTTTTGTTTGTATCTTTATGTTTATGTTTGGATTTTATGGTTTGGGTTTCTTTGAGGATGGGAGGGTTGGGGGTGGGGGATTGGGGGATTGGGGGATTGGATGTGAGAATGGGTGGGAATCGGGTTTAGATGGATGGATGTGTATATGTGTAGGTATGTAGGTATAGATACATATGTATGGTGATTTGAGAGGTGTTCTTTATTTGTGTTGATGTAGATAGGTAGATAGGTAGATGAATACTTTCGACTTGTTTGTGTACTTGAGCATGAGAAGAGGAAGGGAGATCAGAGCAGATTAGATTAGATTAGATTAGATTACACAGTTAGATTGATGAATTGTGTATTTTGGATGATAAGTTAGTTCGTTTGATGGCGAAAAGATTGAATGGTTTATTTATTCGTTTGTTTGTTTATTTGTTTAGTGATTTGTTGGCTTAAGTCTTTCAATAATTTATTTGTTTGTTGACTTAACCGATATCCCTACATCTTGTACAACCCTATATCTTACACACTTTTATTTCTTTTCAAAGTAATATATTAAATTCAAATAATAATTGATTAATCGTTATATTTTATTAATATTTTTTATTAAAATATAATTATATTATTTTTATTCAAAACAAAAATTGAAGTATTGAGAATATTTAAAAAGTATAATAATATTTCAATATTAAAATATTAATATAAAAATATTATATATTAACTTATTCGATAATATAAATAAATAAAATTATTCTTTTTTTGAATAATATGAAATTTTGATTTATTTTTATATAGAGAATTAAAAAAGTAAGCCTTTATATTAAAAATTCGAAAAGATCTTGAATTATTATAATAAGATTTATAAATTATCTTTTTTTAAATTAAAAGTAATTATAAATTAAGTATTTCATAATATTTGAATGAAAAGCTAGTTTTATAATAATATTTGTATATTAATTTAAATTAAAAAATTAAAGAAAGATATTTTTTATTAATTATATATATTTATAATTATTTATTAAAAAAACAATTATAATTATATATTATAATAATATTTTTATTATAAGATATTTTTGAACAATTTGTTTTTTAATACAATTTTTGAAATATATAATTATTTTTTATATCAATATCAAAAATAAAATATCATAGGATTGAATTAAAAATGAATTTCGAATTTGGAATTCTTAGAAATATTGAAGAAATTAAAAATCTTTTTTTAAATAAAAATCTTTTAAAAATAAGTTTATTATATATTTCTTTTGAAGAAAGAATATATATAATTTTCAAGTTTTAAAAGATAAATCATATTTTCAGAATTATTATTTTTTTATTTATTAATTTACAATAGATTTATTATTAATTTTTAAATTATCTATTATTTTTAAAATAATTTTGTTATTTTAGTATCATATTCTTTTATAATAATTAAAGATTAAATTTAATAAGTTTAATTTAAAGTATAAATTTTCTTTTTCTTTTTATAGAAAAAAGATTAAATAAATTTTAAAAATAAATTTTAAATCTTTTTTATTTTTATTAAATTAAATTTATTTTTAAAATCTTATTTAAAACTTGATTCTTAATGTTTTTTTAATGTTTAAACTTTTTTTAAAAAATATTAATATAAAAGAATTTGAAAAATTAACTTTTAGTTTTATAAATAAATTTTAATATAGTTTTATATTATATTTTTAATATTTTATAATAATGTTATTTTAAATTGATTATTATTTTGTTTTATATTTTAAATCTCTTAGAAATTTGATTTTGTTTTACAATATTTTTGAAGCTTTTATATATTAATTTTGAAGTTATTATAACAATTTTGAATTTACAATTGATTTTTAATTCAATAAATAAAAGTGTGCAAGATATAGGGTTGTGCAAGATGCAGGGATATCGGTTATTTATCAACAAAAATTCAAAAGCTTGAAAGCTCGAAAGCTGGAGAGATACTGAGTAGCTCGGGTAGATACTAGGTAATAGATATTTAGGTAGTTACTGGATTTACCATCCTTTACCTACCTAGTTCCCATGGTGTAGTACACTCCGTATGGTAAATATATATGTAACGAATACCGTCGCATGATTGTTTCCAACCTAGCACATCTGCACTCCGTATGCTTCCCTGAAATCGAAGGATACGAAAGGGAGATGACGGGAGGAGGGAGGAAAGATTAGAGGGTGAGGAGAGATGGCTGGCTGGCTGGTTTGTGAGAGAGGAATGTGCTTGGAATTTGGAAGGGATGGGAAGGGATGGGAAGTGATAGTGATTGGTGATTGGTGGGCTTATGAGGTTGGCGGTCTCAGGTAAGAGGTAGGGGGGGGGAATGTTTGATGTTTGAAGTTTGAGATTAGACCTTTGCTATAAGTCTGTGACCTTTACTTTGTGAGGGGTTGATAGTGTGGGTAAAGGAGGAGAAGGAGAAGGGGGGTTTGTTTGAGCATTCGAGCTGAGCGGTTAAATTTTTGAAGGGAGAGGGGGAGGATTGGATTGGATTGATTTAATTTGATTCTTTTTCTAAAAAGAGGATTGATTGATTGATAACGACTACGCGCAACCGAATTTTATCATCAATATCAACGGCTTTTGACGACCTTGACGACCTAGAATTGGAGAGTGACAGTCCGTGTGACGTTTTTAGTGTGCTGAAAATTATTTATGAAAGAAAGAAGAAAGAAATTATAATTTGACTTGGAGTTGTGTCAAGAGAAGAAGTTTGAGTGGAATTTTCACGGTGCATTTCTACAGCGTATTTTTATACGTGCTCATATTTCTATTTACTCATTTATTCATTCATTTATTTAATTGATTGAATCAATCAGGTTTCTCGAGACACAAATACGAAAAGAGAAGAAGAGAAGGGGATATCAACAGTTCTGCGGTCCCGGAAATTCAAATCAAATCAAATAAAATTGATTACGCTGGTTCGAAATCATTATATCGGGATTCGCACTTGGAGAACATCTGCTGTTCTTGGGATATTGGATATATCTAAAAGAATATATATCAGCACATTAGAAACACAAACACACCACACCACACCACACCACACCATAATACAATACAACAAACAACACGATGAAATTAAACAATCTAGCAGCGCGATTCAGCTTCAGTCTGACTTTAAGCTTGATGATATTGTTGGGGGGAAGTGTGTATGCGGAGGAGATGGGGAATGTAGGTGCAGATGCGAGTTTGGAAGGAGAGTTTGCGAGGGAGTTTAAGGGGGTGTGGGGGAGAGCGTTGAGTAATTTGCAGGTATGTGGTTTTCTTTTGGAGTTTGGTTTTGGGGAGGAAGGGATGAGCGATGTGTGGTGAGATTGGTGGGGGGGGTTTTGGTTTTGGTTTTGGGGGAGATTGGGAGGTATGACAGATAGATGGTGAGGTGTAAGGGAGGGGTATAAGGAGGAGAGAAAAGACACGAGATTTCCTCAGGGTCACAAATTCATATCTGCAAGCGCGGGAATGGAAATCCTTGAAGAGATGATGATACAAATATGGAAATATATATAACTAGGGATTCTAACTAACTTTTTTATTTTGGGATTTAGATCTTTGCGGGTTCTTTGGGTGGTGTATCGGCGGATCCGGTATGTGATTCTTTATTTATTTTGAGAGACTTGCGTGCCTGTCTCTCTCTTTCTTCCCCTCCCTCTCTTCTATGCAAAGGATGGGGGAAGGGGAAGTAGGATTGAGATTATCATTATCATTATAAAAATCGTCTTACCAAAGATTGATGTAGAGTCAAGGAATGAATATCGATTCACAGGCGAAATCAAATGAGGAGAAATATTTACTAATTTGAATCTGGGATAGATAACTAATTCCGGGGATCATGCGAGACCGTATATGGTTGCGGGAGATACTTTTGTGAGTTTTTTTCTGGTTTCTTTTGTTGGGGGGAGATATCTGTTTTACTTCTCCTGTTATTATATTTTTATAAGTTTTTTGGGTTTTTTTTGGCTCTCTCGTTTATTCCTCTTCACCATCTTAATTCTCCTTCTCTCCCCCACCGCTTCCCCCAAAAGAGAAACCCCCTAAGAAAAAAACCTAACACCCCTCCCCCTCTAGCCCGCATTCGCAGACGCCTACTCCCGCTCCTGCGCCAACCAAAACAACAAATGCGCCGATGCAGCCAATAATCCTGCAAAAGCAGCTGCGGATATTAGTGTGGATGGTTGTCAAACTCAGGAGTGTATGTTTATTCCTTTTAATTCTTCTTCTAATTCTTCTTCTTTTTTGAAGCATACATCATCGTATTTGGTAGAAGAAAAAGCGGGTTCTTCTCATGGAATTTGGGTGGGTAGGTTGTTTGGGGGTTTGAGAGGTGTGGTCTTGTTTTTTCTGGGGAGCTTTGGGTTTGTGTTTTTGTTTTTTGGGGGGTTTTTGGTGGGGGTTTGTTAGGGGGGTTAGGGGGGATAGAGGGGGGAGGATGGGAAAGGGGAGAAGGTGTTGATGTTGGGTTTGGGGGTGGTAGTGGTAATGATGGGTTGTTTTGGATTTGGTTGTGAACCTTATATGAGATAGAATTCATGGTTGAAAGGCGACGAAGGGCTGGTCCCAAATTGTCTAGAATAATGTTTACGTAGATACTAGAAGCGATATTAAGGAGGCGGAGAAGAAGAGGAATGAGCACACCAATTTAAAAGCGGGGAGGAAAAAAGAAGAGAAGACAAGAAAGCTGTCTGAACCCAATTCTACGCTTGATAGATGGAAAAGAGGATATGAGATGAGACAGAATATGAGATCTACAAAGAAAGAAAGAGAGAAAGCTAATTTCTTCCACAACCCTCAGCTTCGTGTTTAGCGGCGGGAGCAACGGCTACGCAGACAAATTTTCAGGTGCTAACGAGTTCGAATGCGGAGTTTGATTTTGTTTGTGATTCTTAGGAGGGGTTATGGGAGGGGATGAGGGGGCTGAGGGAAGGAGGGGGGAAGACGAGGAGGAAAGGAGGAAAGGTGGAAAGGGAGATGGAAAGGAAATGCAAAGAGAACGAAAGCGCCGAAGAGGGGTAGTGAGGAGATGACATCTGGATATATCCAAACACACTGAGAGGGCAGGAGGAAACCCCCAACAAAACGGCAGACTCTATGAAGTCTTGATACAATATCCAATGATAAAAGGAATTGCTTGGTTGTCAGAATGCTATTTATTTATATATTTATATTTCTATATACAAACGTCAAAACACATATATAGTCAGATAAGACAGACAGGATACGGAGTTGGGAGTTGAGGTATTATACTTTTTATCTATTCATTTTAGTTCTGATTATGAGTATTAGTGTCTAAGAGTTCATAATAAATATCCCAATTATAATTTATGAATCCTTTGGGAATCTTTTACACGCACTCGAACGACTGTTCTGATTTCTCTTTAATAGAAGAATCCGTTTTCTAATCGTGAGTGAATTTCACAAGTCTCAAGTCTCAGGTTTTATATGTCATTCTTTAATTTTGTTGCATGTCGTCGCTTTTCATTTTCTAGGAGATGACTCGTGGATTGGGATTTGGGGAGGGGATGGTTGGTGGGTGCTGTGCTGTGCTGTGCGGTTCGCTGTTTATTGCTGCTATGGTGGTGAGTCGTGAGTCGTGAATCGTGGGTTGTGGGAATTATTTAGGTATGTAGAGGAAAGGTTATGAGATAATAGGTAGGTAGGTAGGTAGGTTTGTGGATTGAACATATAATTTGTAAGTTGTGAACCGGAAAAATGACTGGAGGCTAGAATTGTAATACATTGTATCATCAGTATTTGGATTGCATATATAGTCTGAGAAGAAGTAGGTTGAATCAATAGCTTGTAATAGGTATCTAGGTTGAAGTTTTTATTGGATTAGAATATAGGATACATTTGCTATATAATTTAGAAATCTTATAACGTAGTTTATTAGTGCGTGCATTATATTAATACATACACTACTTTTACCTCAATTTATACTTTCAATTTTATATTATTTAATAATAATTGAATCAATTAATTAAAACTATTTAGAATCTAATAATCTAGAATTTATTATATTATTTTGATAGGTTCTTATATTATGATTTGTTTTTTTATATTTATTATAATATTGAATAGAAAATGCTTTTTTATTGAATTTACTTTCTTTTTAATGCTTATTATATTGAATCTGAATATCAATTTTTTATTAAGATAATATATTAAAAGCTTCTTATTTAATAAGTATTTCTTCTTAATATAATTAGGTTTTTTTCATATGTTGATATTTGTTTAATATTTTATTTATTATTTGAAATATATAAATCTTTATATTTAAAATTATATTTTTATAAGCTAATTACTTTATACCTTTAATTAGAATTAATATAATCTCAAATATAAATATAAATGAACTTAATTAATAATAAATTATTTAAGATTTAATTAATATTAATTGAAAAAAAGCTTTAATTGGGTTGTAAGGGGTTTAAGAAATTTATTAATTTAAATTGAAAAAAGAAAGGGTAAATATACGAATTCAAATATCTAATTTCGAAAATATAGTTTCAAAATTAAATAGAATTAAATCTGTTCTTTAAAATTCTGATTTTATATTTTGAAAAGTAATTGATTTCTTATATATAGTTTTAAAAGTTATAAAGAATTCAATCTTCGAAATATAATTAATATATACCTTAATAAATCCATCAATTTAATTATTATATAAACATTTTAAATTATTAAAATAGCTAATATCAAGTGATTGAATTAAATGACTTAAATATAATAATAAATGTAAATATATAATATCATTCTCTTTATAGTATATTTGAAAAGTTATTGATTTATAATTTTCATACTTATTTAATACCAACATTTAATATTTACTTTTTCTTTGATTCTTAATATACTTATTAAAATATTTTAATTATTTTAAATTTGTTTTATTATTCATTTATTTATTAGATATAGATTTAATAACTTAGTCTATAGAAGAATTAATTTCAATATATTAATTAAAAAAATAAATTTATTCTTAAACTATTAGAAATAAAAGAATAATTTCACCCTTTTTATTTCCATATATTATTATTATAATCTATTCTCGATTATCTAATTATACTGATTTATTTCTATTATATCTTTTAGTATTAATAACAATTATTATTATATATATTAATTTCTATTATAGAGTTTATTTCATTAAAATTATGGAAATCTTTATTCAAAATGTTACATTTCGTTTATATATTCGTAATTAATCAAAACTATTCTTTAAAAAGTTTAAAATTCTTATAAAGAGTTCTTTAAAGATTATAAACATAATTAAAATGTATCTTTAATTTTTTATATTGTTTTATAAATCGATACGCTTAAAGCTTTTTAATAGCTTTTCTTTTTTTCAATTCGAAAATATAATTCGTTATATCTTTTATTCCTTTAAGTTTAAAAGGAAAACCTTTTGAATTTATATTAAGAATATATAAAATAATCATTTGTTCTTTTACTTTAATAAATTTCAGATTCTATAATCGAAATTCAATTGTAGGAATTGTTCTATTTATTCTTCGAATAAATGTTATATATATAATATTATATAGCTTAATAACCTTTCGAATCAAAAGTTTTTTATCTTTTTCGATAGCTTCAATAGCTAAGAGTATTTTCCCTTTTTTATTATTTGATGATATAATAAATAATTGATAAATTGTATATGAAGATTGAAGAGTATAAATTGAGGTAAAAGTGGTGTATACATTGATATAATATATATACTGATAAACTACGTTATATATTCAATATATTTATTATTACTAGTGCTAGTTTGCGGCTCTCTCTAAGATCGCGAGGATGGCAAAGTATTCTCATATCTTACGGAATAGTCTTCTTCACCAAGATAATATGCTTGGTTCCTGGATTGGAGTTGAAGGACCTTTGTATGTACTGATACGAGGTGCCTGAGTTCTAAAAGGCCATGTTCATAGTCTAGGTATGTGCAATGGAAGAAGTTGGAGATGCATGATTGTATTGACGACATCCTGCATACGCATCTTGGTACCTAATAATGCTCGTATGAATTTAACCAAGATTTTAAGATAGATAGAAACACCAATATTTCTCACCTCACATACAATGTCCTCTCCACCCACTGCGGAACACAATACACAAAAACAGATAATCATCCGTCTCCTAGCAAATAATAGCTAATTTTCTAACCCTTAAAAAGTCAATCAATCTCGTGTTTCCATTACCCAATCAACACATGTAACATATCTATACTTTTTCAAGCCACCTACGAAATCTACACTTCCTTCATCTCTTCAAATCGGTAGATTTTAAGCGAAGGATGTAAAATATGTCCGTAGCTACTAGTCTCTAACCTCTAGCTTTTCCGTTCTTCTCGCCATCGCTATTTTAGTTTCCAAACTATCGTAGTCTCCGAGCCTCAACTGAACCAACTAATTGCTCGTTTACCTACGTGCCTAGTATTTATTGAAGAAGCGGGTTCCTGTCGGACCTTTAACTTAAAATATGATACCTAGCGCTCGGATTAGATTTCCGTTCCGATTGTTAATGCTGCTTTTACGAAGATGAATTAGGTATAGCATGATCATTTTGTTTTTTTATACTAGTATCAAAAGTCTTTAAACGGATAAAACGGATAGGATTTATGGAGTATAATTGATTTTGAGAAATTGAATAATTAAGCTTCCAATTAAGGTTACTTCGTTTTACGCCGGATTATGCGGAAGGTGGGGAGGGGATTTCGGGGTGATGGTTAGTGGTTGATCGTTAAGCTTGTTTTTGATTTGATTTCGAGGTTATATACTATAATTCACTTGTCATACGAGCGTTTATCTTTCCTATAGAAAAATAAATGGCAAAGAACGTTTGATGTAATGACTAGGTCCTTAGCATCTTCACCGAGTTTGTAGTTTAGTTTTCTCTGGGAAGCGAGAAATTATTGGATGAGAGAGGATACACGACGGATAAAGACAAAAACGCCAGGTACGACCGTACACGGACGATTTCGTGACAGGGCATGTATGCGGATGTGCGGCGCGGCGAGGTACAGGTACGGATGATTGGGAAAAAGGAGTTGTTTTGTCGAATACCTAGGTATTGATGGGTCCTGCGAATGTTCAGTAATGAAAATGTGCGTAGTGAAATATATCACACGAAAAGGCTGCCTAAACTACGCCGCTTTCGAGATGTAGTTGTGTTTATTGTGATGAGAGGAGATAGATGGGGGGAGGGTAAATACTTGGTCGATAGATCGATGGATATATAAGCAAAAGCGAGTTTTCTTTCTCTTTGATCTGTAACTCGAGAATTTCTAAGGTTGATATCACTTCTACCTTTACTTGTGAACTGTCTAGCTTCTTGAAAGAGAAAGATCCAAACTAAACCACCACTCAATTATCAAGAAATATACTCAAACATATCAAAATGAAGTTCTCATATACTTCCATCCTCTTCGCTCTCGCAGCTCCTGCACTTGTCTCCGCAGACAAAACCAGCGTCGATATGTATGTCTCCCTCCAATGTCCCTCGTGATCCCTCCCCCCTCGCCTCCTCCAAAATTCCAATTCCCCAAACTAACATTCCCTCCCAGCGCATCCGTGATTTCCGATTTTTTCACCGCCACCCCCACACTCCCCGGCGGCGCTCTCTCCACCCTCGCCACGGCCCTCGCCTCTGTCGAAAACTCCTGGACTACCCAAGCCGCCTACACATCCTTCCTCGACGCCATCCATTCCGCAGCCCCCTCCTCCATCGCCAGCTCGATCCACGAAAGCGGTTTCTACTACAAAGATATCGTCACTGCCGATTGGTTTACCAAGAAGGCTCCAAATGGTGTGCAAAAAGCTGTCAGCACTTATATGAGTAATGCTGACAAGGTTGAGTCGAGTGTTTGGAGTAAGGTGGCAAGTGAAACGAGTAAG